TAGTATTCATCAGATACCTTCTCCCTACCAAAGCACTCAACATATAGTACAACTGTATTGTTCAGTTACATTACATATTTATGTATGCACACGTATATGTGAGTGTGTGTGTGTGTGTATAAATAAAATTAAAGCCTTTCCGAAAAATAGAAATGTAATTTCTAAGATATAAACAATTTTGATTGAAAAAGATGTTGAGAAGATAACAACCTAGAAGAAAAGATGGGAGAGGGATTTGGAGAAAGAAATTGATCTGCACGAGTGGGTATATGTGTGGGAAAGGGGATATACATCTTCAATTTGTGTAGCTCATCAATAAAATTTATATTAATTTAGTGTGTAAATGACATTAGACTTCAGTTAAGATCCATCATATTGTTGCTGCTAGAGAAAAGCTCTGTTAGAGAGATTGTGGAGGAAATGGGAACATACTTGCACAGGTGGTAGTTGTGTCCAGGAATTAGAAAGTTTTGAGAGGAAATTATTAAAGAGATCCATCTTATGACAAAATGCTGGCTTCTTAGAGATCCCCTGACCTCCTTACTTAATGCTCCAGTAAAGGATCTGCATTTTAAACAGAATGACAAAGTATTGTCTTCTTATTGCTAGCAGCTAGACTTTGTATTGCACATTACTGGAAAAATGTGACTCCTCCTCCTATGGAATTGTATTATATAAATAGGGTGTGTTATATAAGAAAGTAAAATGTTGGCTGTCCGTGTAGAGGAAAAGCTTTCACACCAAGTACTTACACAAGCGAAACTCCAGAAAGAGGATTGGTTTTTAGAAATTTGGTCATCCTTTTTAACACACTCAGAGGAGGAGAACTCAGTCAGCAAACCAGAATCTTTAGCCAGGTTCTCTGAATATTAAACTGATCCTGAATAAGTAATAAATAATGTATTAGTATGATTACAACCAGTAATGTAACTTTGCCTTAATACAAAAAATTCAAAAATACAAATAAATTAAAAGAACCCGAATACTGACAGTTTTTCCAGCACTTATGGAATAAACTTGTCTCCAGTGGTTTCAGGAAGACCAGGATGAAATGGTTAGGTCAGATCACCAGTGGTATAAGAACAGTAAGAAAAATTGTATGCGGAGTGCTAAAAGTGGTGAGCTCTGGACACTTTCCTTTTCCTAGAAACACTTCTTGGTACAGTAAATCCTCACTTAAAGTTGTCCCGGTTAACGTTGCTGATCAATTAGGGAACATGCTTGTTTAAAGTTGTGCAATGCTCCCTTTTAACGTCGTTTGGCAGCTGCCTGCTTTGTCCACTGCTTGCAGGAAGAGCAGCCCATTGCAGCTAGCTGGTGGGGGCTTGGAACCAGGGTGGACCAGCAGCCCCCCTATCAGCTCCCTACTCCCCTAAGTTCCCTGTGCTGCAGCCACCCAGCAGGCTATCAGTTGCAAGCTATCAATTGCCAGCAGTTCAGCTGTCCCTTCCCCCACTGCCATGTGCTGCTCCTGCCCTGTGCTTTGGAGCTGCTCCCAGAGACTCCTGTTTGCTTTGTGGGGGAGGAGGAAGGGGGGGCTAATGTCAGGGTGTCCCCCTGCTCCTGCACCCCGCTTACCCCTTCTCCATATAGTGCAGGGAGAGGACACTGGCGGAGAAAGACAGAGAGTGCTTGGGGCAGCAGCTGCTGTCTCAACTTCCTGATCCACTTAAAAAGTCAGTGCACTTAAGAGTGGGTCAGCTTACTTAAAGGTACGGTTACCATCCGTCCGGCTTTCCCCAGACATGTCCGGCTTTTTCAGTGTTAAATGGCCGTCCGGGGGGGATTTTTAATCAAGTAGAAATGTCCAGGATTTCCCCCTTCCCGTCGTGCGGTGCGGCTGATTGGACGACTGGCCTGATTGAAAGCTGCTCGCAGCCACTAGGGCCTCTAGGAGCCAGAGTCCCTCCCCCTCCCCCGCTCCC